GGAGGAGGAGGGGCGTCTTCCAGACGTGAGGGGGTCGCTGCTTGTGGGGGAGGGGGGGTTGCTCCGTGGTCGCGCACTGGCACCGGTTGGGACTCGCACGGGATGGGGGTTGCCAGACAGCTGCTGGAGCTTCCCAGGCCGCGGCCGTCCTGGCCCCCAGCCTCTGCCCCCTCTCCTAGCTTGACCAGCTCCCCCTTGGCGTGGCGCAATCAGAAAAATGAGGCCGATCCTGGGGTTGGGACGGGGGAAAGGGGGGATCAAGCCTAAGTTGGGTTCCTCCCGCATCTGCAGATTTTTCGGTTTGGGCCCCAGACAGGCTGCCCACAGCTGTCTCTGCTTGGACGACCCACTGTCTTGCGCCTGCCCCCATCCAGTGCGGCTGAGGAGAGCAGAACCTTGAGGTCCCCTGGCCTCCCCTCCCCGCGGTGGAGGAGGAGGGGCCCGACCCCCACGGATCACTTGGCAATGGCACTGCCTGCATCCTGGGCGCACGCTGCTGGCGGGGCCTGCAGTTCAGCCCACCTAGACCGTGCCTGGTGGAGTCAGCCCCAGGGCAAGCGCGACCCGGGCCTGTTGCTTCCCCTCCGCAGATTCAATCAACCTCCCTCCATCCTGCGCCGCCCCCCCACCCCAAAAAGGGACTTTTCCCCGGATGCTGAGCTGAAGACGGAGGGAGGGAGGGGACGGGAAGCAGGCTCCCCTCCCTTTTCTGCCTGGAGAGTATATGGCGTAAAGATATCAGCTCTGCAGAGTTGGGTTCCAACCTCAACTCTTCGGCCTTGGTGGCTGTGCCCCGCCCACCTCGGGCAAATTCATCATCCTCCAGTTTCCTCATCTGTCAAATGGGAGGATTAATTGATTCTTATCTCACGAGCTCTAGTGAATAAGTTAGATTACATTTGTGAAAAGCCCAGGACAGAGCCTGGTAACTCTCAGAGTCTCAAGAAATGTTATTCCAGGGAATTCCCTGGTGGTCCAGTGGTTAGGACTCCGAGCTTTCACTGCTGAGGGCTCCAGTCCGGGAACTAAGATTCCACAAGCCGTGAGGCACAGCCAGATAGATAGATAGATAGATAGATAGATAAATAAATAAATAAATAAATAAATAAATAAATAAATAAATAAATGAAAGAAAGAATTATTCCACCCCTTCCCCCAGTTTTACTGACTTTAGATGACGATGAGGACCCCGGCCCGGCACTGGGAGACAGCTCCCCGGGTCCTAATGCCGCCCCATCTTGGTCAGCTCCTCCAGGACTTCCCGTTTCTTAGTGACCTATTCATATACATGTTAATAATAGCTTATTATGGGAATAATGATTTGTAATAATGAGAGTAATAAGACCTCTTTGTACTCACACCCTGTGTTTCCACCCTCCTGCCCAGTGATGTGGAGCCTAACGGGCACAGAGAGGGTCCAGTGTGGTGGGGGAGGGCGCCCTCCCCGGCAGCACCCAAGTCAGGAGCTCTCATCTTCCCACCCATAGCTCTGCAGCCCGTGTGCTGCAGGAGACACACGCGTACACATGCGCGCACGCGCACGTGGGCCAGCTAACCCCCTAACTCCCAGAAGGCCCCTCCACGGAGGGAGTGGTGAGGCCATGAGAGAAGAGAGGCAACCAAGATAGACAGCTCCAGAGGGCGGCAGTGGAGGGGGCTCAAGGGGCCCGCAGCCCTGCCTTAGGGACCCCCAAGGTCTCAGCCTGCCCACCAACCATGCCCTCCTGTGGCCCTCCCTCCAGCCTCTAACACCCACGCCCGCCACTCCATCCCTCCATAGGCATCTCCTGAGTGCACCAACACAGCACAGTCCTGCGTGATCCAGAATCCTACTGAGGAAACAGGGCTCCAGACCAGCTCTGTTCCTGACTGTTTTATCGCTGTCGTTTCCTCCTCCTCCTCCGGGCCAGGGACACACTGATGCTCTCTCCAGACCCAGGTGAATTCACAAACGTGTGGGCTTGGAAAGTTTACAGAGCGCTCTCACGTGTTTTTGAGTCTCGTGGCAGATGAGATCAGAGAGGCCACGCAACCTAGATGAGGTCACACAGCTTTGTAAATGGCAAAGCTGGGATGAGATTGAATGGTGGCTGGGAGGACCCAGCATCTTTTGCTGACACCACACCACCTCTCTGTAAGCATCTGGGTACACAGCATTCCTTCTGGATGTGAACCAGCCACCCACACTGTCCTCTTCGGCTTCCTGGCTGGAGGGGTGCCAGGCTTTTGGACACAGGAGAATGGGTTGGAAAAAGATAGAAGCACTGGGTAAAGGGGAGGCCATGGGAGGAAATTCAGCAGGGCGTACTCTATTGCTGGAAAGGTCGTTACCAATTAAATGTCCGGTTCCCAGCCTCACATCCCCCCGGTGTCCTGTGTAGGTCCTTGGAACCTGGGAGTCCTGCCCCCCACCCCACCCCCCAGGGACGAGGGGAGATGGCTCATTCTAAACCTTTCCCCCAGACTGGTGTCTGCCTGGTGGCCCCATCTGGGAGAGGCTCAGACTCAAGCTGGATTACTTGAGCCTCAGAAGGATCTAGAGGGGCAGGGTGCAGGGGGCTAGTGCCAGGGCATCTGTACCCCACCCCTGGGGAGCACCGCCCCTGGGTACCAAGTCCCTGGGTACACTGCCCCTGGGTACACTGCCCCTGGGAATGGAGCTCTCACTCAGCCTCTGGGGCTTGGCTGGGGCAGTGCTGAGTCCCAGAGACACTCAGTCAATTCTAATGGACTTGTTGACTCCACAGGGGACTGCTGGACAGAACCGGGGCTGGCTCTTCCCTCTGCCCCCTGCACCTCCCCCACCAGGAAAGTTGGTCTGCACAGTCAGTCCGTCTGCATCCAGCTGGAATGGGCTGGACTGCAAAATGGCCCCAGGGAGCAGCGGGCTGGAGGTGCTCTGAGCCTCCCTAGTGGGGAGTAGGGCGCCCGGTCCACTCCAGGTGGCTGCCTGGGACAGGGTAGAAAGGAAGATGGGAACAGCATGGGATGGAAGGAAGGACGGGGCCCAGAGAGACTCAAGGAGTAAAATCTCTGCTGTTTTCTACAATGTTTACTTAATCTTATTATAAATTCGCTTTAGTGTTCATTCACTGTGAGGCTCGGTCCATAAAACAAGCATTGAGGATCATTATATTTACAAAGAGAATGTATGTTGACACGGTACACATTTAAACTGAAGGGAGAATCACCCCTTTGCTTGCAATCCTCCAAAGCCTGAGGCCCCTCGGTGATGCAGCCCTGGGGGGCCTGCCCCTTTCTTCCTGACCTGTACCCCGCGCCTCCCCCACCTCCAGCCAGTCTCCTCACCAGCCTGCCCACAAGGCCACAGGCTCCTCCCTGCCTGGACCACTCCTCCCCCAGCATCTCTAGGTTCGTTTCCTTACCTCACACAGCTCTGTACTCAGACATCACCTTCTCGGTGAGGTCGTCCCCACCACCCTGTTTAAATCCCCCCCCACACACAGTCACACTCACACACAGACACACACACACACACACACAGTCACAGGCACACGTGCTGCATCCCCTTCCCTGCTTGACTTTTCTCTATACCACGTGTCACCATCTACAAGTCTTAATATTTTCCTTAGTTATAGTATGTCTCCTCTACTAGAATGTAGGCTGTATGCCAGCAGGGAGTTTTATCTGTTTTCTTTACCCTTGTAGACCCAGCACCTAGACTGTTGCCTGGCACACAGCGGGGCCTCAGCACATAATTGTTGAGTGAGTGGATGAAATGGAGATGTAACTGAAAAAAACTGGGAGGAGGAAAAGGGATAACGACGGAGTTTCCCATTCTTTCACTGTCAGGAGTCAATAAACGCTACCTAGAGTGAATGAACTAACAAGGAGAGGTCTAGGTATATTATTTAGAATGATAATAATAACCACCAGATGGTCACAGGGGATTTTTAAGGCAGTGAGACTATTCTGTATGATACTGTAATGGTGGATACATGACATTAAATACATGTGTATTACATATATTTTTAAAATAAAATAAAATCCCTGGGGCTAGCTAGAAAGCTGGCCTGGCAATTCCCCAGGTGGGCACTGCAGGGCCTCCTGGAGTTGGGGGTGGGCACCACAGCAGAGTAGCCCCTGGGCTGGGTGTGCACCCCCTCCTACCCCTGTGGCTCGCTCGCCCATCCCCCACCCTGGGAAACATGGGAATCCCCAGGTTCCCCCTAGACCCCTGGCAACTGGGATTGGACGGCTTCTCCAAGCTGCCTGGATTGGACTCCCAGGAAGGAAGAGGCCATGCGGTGCAGACAGTGCTTCCAGACTGCAAGGTACAAACAGTTCACCTGGGGAATCTTGTGAATGTGGATTCTGACTCAGTAGGTTTGGGGTGAGACCTGAGATTCTGCTTTTCTAGAAGCTTCCACGGAACATACTTGGACAGCAAGGGTCTAGAGCAGCGGTTCTCACGTGTGTCAGCAGCGGCACCTGGGAACTTGTTAGAAATGCGGGTTCCAGGCTCCACCCCGGACCTGCCAAGTCAGAAACTCTGGGTTTGGGGCCTGTGTTGTAACCAGCCTCCAGGTGATTTTGATGCGCTCAAACCACCAGTGTGGAGGACGGAGCACTGAGCCGGGAGACAGGGCCTCAGCTCCACGACACCTGGG